ATGTGGGATCTTCCTGGACCGGGGCACGAACCCGTGTCCCCTGCAACGGCAGGCGGACTCTCAACCACTGCGCCACCAGGGAAGCCCCAGGAGCCATCTTTTTGAAATGCAGACATCTAGGGGGATAGCTCCCCTGGACCCTGTCTCCCCATTCCTGTGGAAGGGTAAGCATTTACCTTTGGTAGGTACCTTGTTGCAGTATGCAAGACTACCTCCAGTCCTAAAGATATGAGATGTCTATTCTTCCTCTGGAAAAAAGCCAATAACCATGATAAATTTAGGATAAACTATGTGTGACAAAAGGTTCAGTCAAGTCCTCATGCTTGAGAACTAGTTACTGTTTAATCTTGAAAACATGTATGTAATGGGCTGAATCCCCTTGGCAATATAAGAGTAAGAGATCCTTTTCTGTCTTTGCAATCTCTTGGCGGGTTGTCTGTGATGAGCATGCTTATTATGAAGCGTATGGTTTAATGCTTATTCAATGCTAAAAGTGTTTGCTTTCTTTATTACCTTTGTGGAGAGGATTTCTGGGTTGGGAGATTTTGTTTTTAGCTTTATTTCCTGCAGCCATTACTGTGGCTCTTTCTTATCTGAGTTTATTTCCTAAGTTTTGTAGCTTCAAGGTGTGAGAGTTAGTAACTGAAGGATGAGTCTACCACTGTGGCATAAAAATTATTTTGAGCTGAAGGCATTTGAGAATAGATTTTATTTTTCTTTATTCTGAATTCTCTTATCTGCCTAAAAGCCAAGCCTGTGAAGAATTCAGTTGTCATAAATCACCTCCCCAGGAGCAAATAAATGATCAGCTCTTATCCCCAGACACTGGAAGTTGGCACCACACCTAAAGCAGAACTTGTCACAAAACTAGCATAGCTCCCATCTGTTCTCTTAAGGGCCCATTTATCTTTCCTAAAAATCATTTGTTTTCCAGTAAGTAGCCTTCTCACCTGCCCCTTTCTCTATCCAGATGTTATATAAGTCCCAAATTCTAACTGCCTCCTTAGTTTATATTTTTCTGTGTATTCCCGTAAGTTTTGAATAAAAAAATTTGTCTTTTCTCTTGCTAGTCTGCCTTTTGTCAGTATAATTTGCAGGCCCTCATTAGGAAAACCTAAGAGGATAGAAAAAAAAAGGTTTTCTTCCTTGACGTAATAAAAGTAATCACAGACCAAATTATTCACTATTGGAAACACCCACTCAAACATTCTTACCCCTTTAACACTACTATTTTCTAGCCTGCACAGAGATCAATGTTTTGATAGGCTAATCCTTCATTGTGTATACAATGAAAATTTATTGTAAAGTGATACTTCAGATTCTGCCAAAGATGCAGTAATTCATGAAGGTGGTAAAAGTGTTGTGGGACCACGGCTCTGTTGGCTCCCAAAGCCACTGACAAGTGTAGTAAAGCAAGATTTGTTAAAGTTGAAGAGGAGCAAACAATGATAGGGAAAATATTTGTTTGGCTTCTGAAAGTTAGTCCCAATGTCCTTCTGTTGAGCCTGTGGCCCACCAGCGGGTTTGAAAAACAGAAGCACTAACTTGCCCAGCCATGTGACACAGTTCTGAGTAAGGAGATGTCAGAGGAATAAAGCTAGGAGTGAACTAAGGGGTGAGGATTCTGGGGGAAGATTTTTCCTTTATGATGAAAGGAGAGAAGCATAGCAGGGGAGCTCTTTTGCAGTTTTAGTTTCCTACAGCTATCACATACAAAAAAAACAAAACAAAAACAACCACACAAAAAACGATATTTGATTCATGCTTTGTTCTACAAATTGCCTCGGTAATCTAAATTCTGTGATGTAGAAAATAAAACACATTATTTCCATTTGTATTGTCTTTTTTCCAAAAATAAAATCTCATTGTTGGGGATATGCAATTTACCATAAAATCATAAGTGGAATCAATTAAGTGTGTTTTTATCTTAGTACTTTTTATGCTCAGGTAAGGAGGACTGTCTGTATTCAAGGGCGTACAAGCAATTGTTTTTTTAAAGCTTGAGACTTTAAATATTCTTACCTTTTTCTGTAAGAACTGCCCCAAATACGCCTTAGAATTGTACCCAAATGTAATGGAAATACTCTGTTTGGGGGCAAAAACTGTAGAATAACCTGAACGCTTGTTTTAAATAAAGAAATTAAATGTTCTGTTCGATTATAGAAACATTCATGTGTCTCTGCAGACTTTTTTTCCTTTCTCTTTCTCTAGAGGTTTATACAGATATACTATGCCCCAGTGAGTACGGGGTTGTGTTTCTCTTAAAGAGAATAGAAATCTGCACCGTCTATGTTCCTGGGAAGCATCTGGGGTTAGGGAAATGGAGACTGGGCAGTAGGTCTTATACTGGAGGGAAGGGAGAACTTCTTTGGTGTGTGCAGCTTTATTCCTCACTGGTCCAAGTGAGTTGCCCCTGCTATGTACAGATGGCCCAGTGGTCAGGGAGAGACACATCTTGTCAGCATCTTTAAGAGGTTGGGACTGAGTCAATGGGTTCTGAGATTAGCCACATCTACTAGCTGACACTCTCTGTATTTTATTTCTCCATCCTAGAATGTTTAACAAAACCTAGTCCAGTTAAGGTCTCCTCCCAGTTAGGCAGAGATTTGTGGGAAATGGGTTGTAGCCACAGCACTGAGGGGGAGAATCAAAGGCCCAGAAGCTGCAGGGGATGGTGTGCATCAAGGGGCAGTGGCTCCCACTGGCTGGAGCTGGCTGACCATAAGAAGCTCCCTGGTTGGGGGGGCGGGGGTGGGCTGGACAAATCAGCAGGGATTGCCAAAACTCGTGGAGACAGCTCCCAACAGAAGGCTGAACTTTCTGCTGACCAGTAGGATGGGGGCTCAAAGTTATCATGATCTGAGCTTATTAATAGAGAAATGTCTACACAGAATGCTGAAGTTCGGGATGAGTTGGTTGCCCGTGGCTCTGTCAAGCTTGGGGGGACATGGGGAAGCTGGCAAGTTGGTTGCACCTCAGCCTCCCCCAATGAAGTAATGGCTTATTTCTATCCTTCCCCTCTCACGATTCTATGCATTCTGTCAAATTGGCTAGAATCCCACATCAGGTGGGGACACCCCGTTTCCTTGAATTCTGTGACATGTATCCCAGCCCTGTCTCCAAGATCATCCAGCACGATGCCAGGTTTCAACCAAGAGTGTGACTCCCAAACTCTTAGGGTCAGAGTCCTAAGACATGTTTTCACCTGCCCGTAGTCCTCAAGAAAATGATGCAGGCACAACAAGGCCTCTTTCTACAAGTATTTGAGATACAGGATAGTTATTAAGATATCCAGAAACAACCAGACAAGGATGTCACAAAGAAAGAAAACTACAGGCCAATATCACTGATGAACATAGATGCAAAAATCCTCAACAAAATACTAGCAAACAGAATCCAACAGCACATTAAAAGGATCATACACCATGATTAAGTGGGGTTTATTCCAGGAATGCAAGGATTCTTCGATATATGCAAATCTATCAATGTGATAAACCATATTAACAAATTGAAGGAGAAAAACCATATGATCATCTCAATAGATGCAGAGAAAGCTTTTGACAAAATTCAACACCGATTTATGATAAAAACCCTCCAGAAAGTAGGCATAGAGGGAACTTTCTTCAACATAATAAAGGCCATATATGACAAACCCACAGCCAACATCATCCTCAATGGTGAAACACTGAAAGCACTTCCACTAAGATCAGGAACAAGACAAGGATGTCCACTCTCACTGCTCTTATTCAACATAGTTTTGGAAGTTTTAGCCACAGCAATCAGAGAAGAAAAGGAAATAAAAGGAATCCAAATCGGAAACGAAGAAGTAAAGCTGTCACTGTTTGCAGATGACATGACATTATACATAGAGAATCCTAAAGATGCTACCAGAAAACTACTAGAGCTAATCAATGAATTTGGTAAAGTTGCAGCATACAAAATTAATACAAAGAAATCTCTGGCATTCCTATACATTAATGATGAAAAAATCTGAAAGTGAAATCAAGAAAGCACTCCCATTTACCATTGCAACAAAAAGAATAAAATATCTAGGAATAAACCTACTTAAGGAGACAAAAGACCTGTATGCAGAAAATTATAAGACACTGATGAAAGAAATTAAAGATGATACAAATAGATGGAGAGACATACCATGTTCTTGGATTGGAAGAATCAACATTGTGAAAATGACTCTACTACCCAAAGCAATCTCCAGATTCAATGCAATCCCTATCAAACTACCACTGGCATTTTCCACAGAACTAGAACAAAAAATTTCACAATTTGTATGGAAACACAAAAGACCCCAAATAGCCAAAGCAATCTTGAGAACGAAAAACAGAGCTGGAGGAATCAGACTTCGTGACTTCAGACTATACTACAAAGCTACAGTAATCAAGACAGTATGGTACTGGCACAAAAACAGAAAGATAGATCAATGGAACAGGATAGAAAGCCCAGAGATAAACCCACGCACATATGGTCACCTTATCTTTGATAAAGGAGGCAGGAATGTACAGCGGAGAAAGGACAGCCTCTTCAATAAGTGGTGCTGGGAAAACTGGACAGGTACATGTAAAAGTATGAGATTAGATCACTCCCTAACACCATACACAAAAATAAGCTCAAAATGGATTAAAGACCTAAATGTAAGGCCAGAAACTATCAAACTCTTAGAGGAAAACATAGGCAGAACACTCTATGACATAAATCACAGCAAGATCCTTTTTGACCCACCTCCTAGAGAAATGGAAATAAAAACAAAAATAAACAAATGGGACCTAATGAAACTTCAAAGCTTTTGCACAGCAAAGGAAACCATAAACAAGACCAAAAGACAACCCTCAGAATGGGAGAAAATATTTGCAAATGAAGCAACCGACAAAGGATTAATCTCCAAAATTTACAAGCAGCTCAATAACAAGAAAACAAACAACCCAATCCAAAATTGGGCAGAAGACCTAAAGAGACATTTCTCCAAAGAACATATACAGACTGCCAACAAACACATGAAAGAATGCTCAACATCATTAATCATTAGAGAAATGCAAATCAAAACTACAATGAGATATCTTCTCACACCAGTCAGAATGGCCATCATCAAAAAATCGAGAAACAATAAATGCTGGAGAGAGTGTGGAGAAAAGGGAACCCTCTTGCACTGCTGGTGGGAATGTGAATTGGTTCAGCCACTATGGAGAACAGTAGGGAGGTTCCTTAAAAAACTACAAATAGAACTACCATATGACCTAGCAATCCCACTACTGGGCATATACCCTGAGTAAACCATAATTCAAAAAGAGTCATGTACCAAAATGTTCATTGCAGCTCTATTTACAATAGCCCAGAGATGGAAACAACCTAAGTGTCCATCATCGGATGAATGGATAAAGAAGATGTGGCACATATATACAATGGAATATTACTCAGCCATAAAAAGAAACGAAATTGAGCTATTTGTAAAGAGGTGGATGGACCTAGAGTCTGTCATACAGAGTGAAGTAAGTCGGAAAGAGAAAGACAAATACCATATCTTAACATATATATATGGAATTTAAGAAAAAAAACTGTCATGAAGAACCTAGGGGTAAGAGAGGGATAAAGATACAGACCTACTGGAGAATGGACTTGAGGATATGAGGAGGGGGAGGGTAAGCTGTGACAAAGCGAGAGAGAGGCATGGACATATATACACTGCCAAACGTAAGGTAGATAGCTAGTGGGAAGCAGCCGCATAGCACAGGGAGATCACCTCGTGCTTTGTGACCGCCTGGAGGGGTGGGATAGGGAGGGTGGGAGGGAGGGAGACGCAAGAGGGAAGACGTATGGGAACATATGTTTATGTATGACTGATTCACTTTGTTATAAAGCAGAAACTAACACACCATTGTAAAGCAATTATACCCCAATAAAGATGGTAAAAAAAAAAGAAAACAACACCCATATAAAAAAAATAAAAGTAAATAAAAGATATCCAGAAACATAAAAGAGAAAGGGAAAGAAAAGGTGGACTTACCAAGTGGTCCACTGACTGGAGGTGCTGCAAGAGAGTCACGAGCAAGGCATCAGCACAAGGCAACGAGTCACAAACCATTTTACCGCGAGAGTTCACCCGCCCATTTTCGACTTCCGGCCAAATGGAGGAGAAACATGCCCAGTTCCACCCACCCTGGAGAAACAAGATAACGTCATGGCCAAAAGCTCAGGCTGCAGACTCAGGCAGAAACAGGTTTGAATTTTAGCTGTGTGGCCCTGGGCAAACTGCACAAAACCTCCAAGGCTCAGTTTTCTCCTCTGTAAGATGAGGGCCATCAAACTGACCTCATGGCCATATTTTAATGAGCTAAATTAGTAAGTCATCAATTAAGGTTGCTGTAATTGGTTTTTTTGACATGACTGTGGCTGCTGCTGAGGCTTGGCTTCACTATCTTCTTGCCTGGAGTGTTATTCTCCTCCTTCATTATGAAGCAAAAGCAAGTTACCCTCACACATCAAAGCCCAGATAAAATCCCACCTCCTCCATGAAGCCCTCTGAGATGCCTCCAGGCTGCAGCACCCTCACTTTTCTATTGATTCAGAACCCCTCCCATTCCCGCTCAGTTGAAACTCATAACTGGACATACAGTATGGGGCAGTGGTTAAAAGCACAGCTCCAGTGTCAGATTATGGGTTTGAATCCTGACTCTGCCACTTTGCTACTGCATGAAACTTAAGGCAAGAGACCGTCTCTATGACTTAGATTCCTTATCTGTAAAACAGGATTTATAGAAGTTCCAGCTCATCGATTGTTAGAGGATTGGATACATTAATACAATGGGATATTCTTAGAAGACTGTCTGACATAGGGCTCAGCAAGAATTAATTATTATCAGCAAGAATTAATTATCATTGTCCTATGATCCATTGTGTAATAATTTTCTTGTATTGCCAAGTCAAATGCTCTTTTATTTGTCCTTTGATTTCTTTATCAGAATGTCAGTTTTTGAGGGCAGAGGCCATGTCCTCCGTGTCCCTGCATACTCTGCATTGCCCCGCACCATGCTATGCCCCATATAGCCATTCATTCACTATTTACTGAATTCCCATAATGTGCCAGTCACACTAATAACTCTTCCTTTGTTTTTTTTTTTTTTTTGCGGTACGCGGGCCTCTCACTGTTGTGGCCTCTCCCGTTGCGGAGCACAGGCTCTGGACGCACAAGCTCAGTGGCCATGGCTCACGGGCCCAGCCGCTCCGCGGCATGTGGGATCTTCCCGGACCGGGACACGAACCCGTGTCCCCTGCATCGGCAGGCGGACTCTCAACCACTGCGCCAGCAGGGAAGCCCCGTACTCTTCCTTTCTTAATTGGAGTCTGGAGATATAGCTGAGAACAAGGCAAACGCATTTAACAAAATTCAGTGTACAAATGACTGACTGGTCTTTATTTCCCTAAGCTTGAGCTACTAGAAAATCAGTGTCTCATTTGGACAAATATTGGCAATCGGGAAGAAAAATCAAAGGGAAATTGTCTTATTTCTCCTCTTCTCATGTTCTTTGCGAACATCAGAGCAGGTTTGATCTTAGAATACAAGAAAGAAATAACTATTCTCAGCAGAAAATCATTCTACATCAGCTCGCGGTCAGAACATGGTCCTTTCACAAGGGACTCAGTTCATCTTTCACTCTTGGTTTTCATGATCTGTAATTAGAAAGGTAACCAAATTTAATTGTAGTTTTCTGCATGGAAAAATAAGCCCACTTTTGGGGGGGTAAGAGGAATTTTTCATAGGCAATTAAAAGCAAACAAGGAACACATTACTAGAAATAATTTTTTCCCTCTCATTCCATTGTATCAATATCTTTCCCCTTTGTTCATTTTCTGCTGTTCTAAATGAGATTAAAATCCATTTTTTCAGCAGCACAGAGGAGAGGTCTTTTGCCTGTGGAGAGGCTCCGTTTTCCCAGCAAACAGAGGCTTCCCCCACTACTTACCGAGGACCAGCAAGGATGCCCACAGTAGCATGGAAGTCTGTTCTGGGGTCCTGAGGAGCATCTCATAGGAGACAGGCCAGTTCCCAGCGCTGGAGAGTCAGTTCAGCAAGTTGTTCCTCTGAGTACAGTTGGTTGAGTTAATGAAGTGAAAGGGGGAAGTAGGGGAATCTTTCTTAAAATACCGAACACTTATGTTACGAGGTGTAAGAAAATCTCAATGACAGAAGTCAATATATGATAAAAAAAAATATTTAAGTACTGCTCTGATATATTGGTATGAATAGCCCCTCAAGGCTTTAGTTGTCTTATTTTCAGAAAGCTCCAGTCTCTGCCTTCCAAGGAAACTGCAACTTATTCTCTCTGCTACCAGACATCAGGTAAGACTGCAGTTCTGTTGAGATTCACATAATCCAAGGATGTGTCTAAATCACTCCTGAGCCGGAAAACTTCTCATTCAATACAGAAATGTCCTTCTCTGACCCCTGACAGACTCTGCTGGACCACCTCCAGATGACCATCTGTATATAATGAAGTATCTGAATCATAAGACAACTTGCACCTTGTCTGACATATATGAAAATATCCTGACTCATTTGTCTCAGAGGAAGCCACAAACTTTGGTCTGAGCAGGCAGCAACGAATAAATTATAGCCCCATCATGTTCTTCCTGGAGAATGGACTGTGAAATTATTAACTTAAGGTCCTAGAAACCAAAATTTGCTAGAGAAATGAATGTCTCAACAAATACATATTGATTATGTTAGGCATGGTGCCAGGTGATGGGAGCACAGTGGTAAGCAAGACTCGATAAGCTTTCATTCTAGTGGGGAGACAGAAAAGCCAACAGGGAGTTAAATACAGAGTGAAAAGTGCTCCTAGAGTTCAGTGGGGGGGGAAATCTGACCCAGTTCTGGGGAATCAGGAGAGGCTTCCCTGTGGAAGAGACACCCAAATTGACTGAGAGATGAGCAAGGACAAAGGTGAATGCAGTGGCATCACTGTCTTCATCATACTCATGATATCTGTGAATAAATGACCGTTGGCCTTCCTAGGAGGCGAAAATAACAGACATAGGATGAATTATGTGGAATGGTCTGCATTCCTCTCTTACAGCAACATTTTTCTGTATATCTATAATAGTTTCTTTCTCTAATTAGGGGTTTGTATTGAACATCAATTCCAGGCAATGTCCATGAACTTAGAAGTATCACAAAATAAATAAAATGCATCTCCTTTAAAGACTTTGTAAAATGTGGTAAGGGCCAAAGTAGACATAGGCATGAGGCACAATGGGAACATAAAGAGTGTCAAGGTGGCACTTACGTCCTTTGTCACCTAGCCCTGGGACCTTTCTATCATCTTTCAGTTCTGGAGGGGTGAGACATGATGAACCTGGATTCATATCTTGGCCCCAACTTTTATTAGTTGTGTGACTTTGGTCAAGTACTTAGCCTCTTTAGGCCTCAACTTCAACACTGGTATAAAGAAGATAAAAAATAATATCCAATTTAAGACGATGTTGCTATTGATGTGTGTATGAATGCAGTAATGATGTAGAACTCGTGGCCCAGTGCCTGGCACCATGTAAACACTCAGTAAATCACTATTATTATTTTAGGACCATGAGCTGGAGAGCACTTTATAATTGATGCAGTATTCTACAAAGAGTATTTTAGACTAAGCACTAATAACATTGATTGAGTAAAGGTTGAGGGGAAGTTGAAATTACATCTTCTGTTTTCTCGCTTCTGGCATCAATTTTGTTGAATGAAGGGTTTTCAATTAGCAAATAAAATTTTATATTTATGACATTATATAAGATGTCCAAACACAAAAATCATATTGGCAACCACTGTGTAAAATTTTAAATAGTTTAAGTCAGGTACTATTTTTGTTGTTGTGTTTAAGTCACTGATATAAATGCCTCAGTTATTGGTATCAAAACTGTAGTTTCCTTTCAAAACACCAGCATATACCACAATTTATTAGACAATTGCTTAACTAATCAGGGACAACTTTTAGATTTTATATTAACGAGGGAAAGTAATACTTGTATTTAGTGACAGCATAAGAAACTGTGAAAAGTCTGATCTTTTTCATATATGAAAAAAGAAGCATTTAAAACTCTACATTTTAAAAATAAATTTTTAATTTTGGAGTAATTTTAGATTTACAGAAAAGTTGCAAAGATAGTACAGAGGGTTCCTATGTATCCCTCACCCCATTTCAGTTTCCTGTAATGGTATCGTCTCACGTTACAGTGGTATATTTGTCAACTACTAACTCCACGATTTACTCAGATTTCACCAATTTTTCCCTTTAATATCCTTTTTCTCTTATAGCATCCCGTCTAAAATGCCACATTACATTTAGATATTTCTGCTTAGTCTACCCTGGTCTGTGACAGCTTCTCAATCTTCGTTTTTCATGACTGGCAACTTTAAGGATCACTGGCCAGATATTCTGTAATGTCCTTCAGTTTGGGTTTGTCTGATGTTTTTCTCATGACTCAACTGGGGTTATGGGTTTGCAGAGGGAATGCCACAGAGGTGGAGTGCATTTCTCATCTCATCATATCAAGGGATATGTGATATCAACATGCCTTACTGCAAGTACTATTTATCTCAATCACTGGGTTATGGTAGTGTTTGTCAGCTTTCTTCAATGTAAAGCTACTATCTATCCCTTTCCATACTCTAGTGTTTGGAAGCAAGTCCCTAAGTCTAGCCCACACTCAGGAAGTGGGGCTGGGAGGAGATTAAGAAATGAAAATTTGTAATGAAGATTTGTCTTTTCTCCCCCATTTATTTACTGTTTGTCTGTTTGTGTGTGTTCATTTGTTCATTCATTCATTCATTCATTCAATCTTTGTTTATATCCCTATGGACTCATGTGCATTTATTTTATACTTTAGGTAATAATCCAATGCTACTTCATTGCTTTAATTGTTTCAGCTTTGGGCATTGGGAGCTCTTTCAATTGAGCCTCTATTTCCCTTTGACATGGATTGTGCTGTGGGGTGGAGCTGGGTGTGGGGAGAGAAAGAGGAAGCTGCAGGCTTGGGACCTGCAACCAGAGCTTGCATTTCTTATGGTTCTATGTTCCAGCATGGAATTCCAAAGATCCAAGAATTTTATATTTGAACCTAGACTACCAGGTCATTATAAAGGTATATTTGTCAAGGTGTAGGATAAAAATATTTTATTAGTTCACTAGATTGATTAATAACTTTTAAACCTCCAGATATATACAATGAAGGCCTCCATTTCTACTCTTGTCTTGGACCACACATGTTAGGTGGTCTCTAACATGTATTTGGAAGGGAAAGTGAGATACTGCTTTTCCAATGATTTTGTTTATATGTGGAAATTGATTTTCTTACTACTTCATTTCCATTGGCCAAAACATTTTGAAAAAGAATAAACAAAATAAAAATTTTAAAGCCATAACTTTTAGTTAGATTTTGTAATTTTCCAAGCCAGGCAATTCATTAGGAGGCTGTATATGAAAGAATTTAAAATTTAGATACCAAAGTAAAATCACCCATCACTGGTAAACAGCATTAAACTATGCATCTGGTTCTAAATTTTGTCTGTAACTACCCATTTTTAGCTGCAACTGCACATCACAAAAGCCTTGATAGAGAGAAGGCTGGTTTTTCAAGAGGTATACTCTTAAAAAATTACATGGGAGGGTGCTCTCTACTTTATGGGAGTGGGGCAAGTTTACATTTTACCAATTTACTCTGTTTTAATTGCTTTTCATAGATTGGTGCCTCTGGCATGTTTTAATCTGACTCAGTCTATTTCAAGGGGTGTGTATTCAAAGCCTATGGGAGCCAGGCAGGCAGTGTAGAGTGTGAGAAAAATCAATTACCATAATACAATAAAAGTTTAATTATTTTACCAAACTATTGGATATGTGTGTAACATAATACAAGCATGTGTGAAACTAGAGATTATATTTTAAATCCAAACTTGAAAACTACAAAATGGAATGCAGACTTAATTCATTATTTTTTCTCTTACATTATTTATTATTTCTCTATTGGGAACTGGAAACTTGACATCTTTTCATCTGCACCAAGAAATCAGTATCAGAATTTACATTTCACATTGTATATGCAACATAAGATTCAGTTTTATAAACCTTGTAACCTTTAAATGGTATGGAGACCCCTTAAAAAAATAAAAAATAGAACTACCATATGATCCAGCAATTCTATTCCTGGATATTATCAGAAGAAAATGAAAATACTAATTCAAAAAAATATATGCACCCCTATGGTCATTGCACTATTATTTTCAGTAGCTAAGATATGGATACTACCTAAGTGCCCATCAATAGATGAATGGATAAAGAAGATGTGAGATATATATATATATATACACACACACACACACACACGCAATGAAATATTATGTATATATGTATATGTATACATATAAATACACAGTGAAATATTACTCAGCCATAAAGAAGAATGAAATCTTGCCATTTGTGACAACATGGATGGACCCAGAGGGTATTATGCTAAGTGCAGCAAGTCAGACAAAGACCAATACTGTATGATTCACTTATATATGGAATCTAAAAACAAAACAAATGAACAAACATAAGTAAACATAAATAGTCATAGATATACAGAACAAAAATGTGGTTGCCAGAGGGAAAGGGGGTGGGGGGAGGAGAGAAATAGATGGGGGAGATTAAGAGGTACAAACTTCCAGTTTCAAAAAATGTCAGTCTTGTTTCTAAGTTGGACCTAGGTCAACTCCAGTTGGTTTTGAGACCCAGTTTGGAAAAAAAAAATGCTCAGAGTCTGAAATCTCATGAAGCAAAGCTGCTGAATGAGGACCAGATTCCGAGGGGATGTCCCCACATCTCCAGAGGCAGCAGGCAGGCAACGGCTCCAGGGGGCTCGGCAGTTTAAATATTTCATCCATTCTCTTCATGCTTGTATGGTTTCTGAGGAGAAGTTGAACGTCATTCTTCTTTTTATTCTTCTATAGCTGGGTGGCTGACAGAGTCTTGGTGCTTTGGGTAGGTGTCAGGCATGAGCCTCTGAGGTAGAAGAGCCGAGTTAAGGACATTGGTCCACCAGAGACCTCCTGGCTCCACGTAATATCAAATGGCGAGAGCTCTCCCAGAGATCTCCATC